TTGTGTGAGGTACCCAACTCTTGTCCCAACTCAGATGACTTTACACAGACGCGATCACCTACCTGAAATGCAGACAGTCGTCTGTGTTTGTTCTCAGATGCAACCATGGCATATTGAGCTCTCTTGATGTACTCTACAGCCTGCTTCAGCATCTGTTCGGACTTGACAGCAAACTCTATGCTACCAGGTGCTGCGGTTGGCTGTATTTCAGGCCAGGAAGTCAAGAGGAGATCTGGGCTTCCAACCAAGATGCAGTTGGTTGGGGGTCCTACCGGTAGTGCTGTGCACAACATTGCTATACAGGCTGGCGATGAGAGGTAACTTCTCATCCCAGTCATCTTGACTTGCTTAATATAACGCCGAAGCAAGTGTTGCACTACCCGGTTTATCTGCTCGGCCTGTCTGTTTGACTCAGGGTGGTTCCCTGATGTCATTTGCAGTCGGTTGCCCATCTGTTGGGCTGTACTTTGCCACAGTTCGCTAGTGAATCTGACATCCCTGTTGCTCGTAATAGACTTAGGTAGACCGAAGTCGCGTACTCAGTTGTCCATAAATAGCTTGATGATGTGGTCAGTCCCAGTTGTCTTAGGCATAGCGATTAGTCTAGCATACTTAGTGAATCTGTCCACAATGACGAAGATGTGCCCTTTACCTCTCTTGCTGGTCACAAGTGTATCCATGAAATCCATGGACACACTTCGACCTGGGCCAGCAGGGATGGGCAAGGGCTTGATAAGCCCAAGTGGTGCCTGCGTTTGTGGCTTGTCACGCTGACATACCTGGCAAGTTTCTACAGACGTTTTTGCATCATCCATCATTGTGGGCCACCAAAATTTATGCACTAAGTTTGCAGCTGTCTTTTTATAGCCAAAATGTCCAAAATGTCCGGTTGCATCGTGACAGTCACCTAAAAATTAAACTACGCAAAGATTCTGTATTTGATACACACAAACATTTATTCCCAGCCTTCTCAATGAACAGCAAGCTGTCAACCAGCACAAACTCATCGGAAGTAGCCTTCTTTTTAGCTTCCAATTGGCAAATGATCTCAGACATGACTGTGTCCTCTTGATAGGCTTCCACCATAGAGTGAGTTACATCATTAGAAGTCCCAAACTTAGTCACTGGTGCGCCCAAATAGTTTGCCCTACGCGATTGTGCATCAGCCACTTTGTTGTACTCTCCCTTCAGAGGCTCGAGCTTGAAGTCATACATGCTTATGACTTCAATGTCTATGACTTCAATGTCTACGACTTCAATCCACCTTTGGAGTGCGTCGGAGAGCACGGGTTGTGTCTTAATCCAGCGCAGCGTCTCATAGACCGATCTCGCATAAAAGAATCTGCCGAGGAGGTAATGCCTCCAATGGACCAGCGCTTGATAGAGGGCATAGAGGTCGCGCTCATAGGTGAACTTAGCTAATTTATGAGATGGCATCTTTTTGCTCATGTACTCGATCGACCTCATGCCGTATTGGCTTGCGTCTATGGTCACAACAAAGGGATTTTCAGGATCCGGAAGTTTTAGTACTTCATAGTGCATCGGGGCATACTTCAATCTCTTGAAGGACGCTTCACACACTTCGGTCCTCTCCCAAGGGGTGTCAAGGTGCGTCAGTTAAAGGAGAGGCTATCGTGCTGTATTTTTTTACAAATAGGCGATAGTAGCTTGTCATCCCCAAGAACGACCTCACCTCAGTCACAGATTGAGGTATGGGCCAGCCACGTATGCTGCCCACTTTAGCATCATTCGACCTCAAACCATCCGCGGAAATTTCATGATCCAGAACAAGATCTTGATGCGATCAAATCCGCATTTCTTCAAGTTAACCTTGTACTGGTGTCGTCTTAGTTAGGATCCCTAGCACTGTTTTCACGTGCTCAGCCTGCTCCTTTATAGTCTTACTAAAGATAAGGATATCGTCGAGGTACACAACGATAAACTTGTCTAAGTACTCATGAAAGATCCAGTTCATTGCGTGTTGGAACGTCCCAAGAGCATTGCATAGGCCAAAGGGCATCACCACAAACTTGTACAGGCCGTACCCGGTTTGGAAGGCGATTTTGTGTTGGTCCTCAGGTCTAATAGCAATCTTATGGTATCCGTACTTCTATCTTAGTGCAATGCCAACATCCCTGCGCTTTATCCAAGAGGTCGTCAATGCGTGGTAGGAGTTTTGCATTCTTGATGGTGATGGTATCGAGTCCCCTATAGTCAATGCACATCCTTAGGGTCCCCCTTGTCTTTGGGACAAATAAAATTTGCGCTCCATAGGGGGACATGCTTGGTCGAGCCCAACCCTTCTCTGAGAGTTCCTTGAGCTGGCGGCGGAGCTCATCTAACTCTGTGGGAGACATCCTGTAGATCCGCCCTTCAGGTACTTTGCTACCGAGGAAGACTTTTATCGCGTGGACAATAGCTCCTCAAAGAGGTCAGTATATTGCGCAACGATTGCTTCTATCTTTTGGGGTGATTTTACTGTCTCCCCTTTCTCAGAGACAAAGACTAAGTACATACCTTCCTCGCGATTATGTTGTAGTTGTTATAGAAAGACAACGTGCACACGCAACCATAGTTCTCCACTAGTGTGCTAGCCTTAAACTTTTGCAGCCTAACGGTGCTTCCATCTGGCAACTTGTGGATCATCACCTTCCTATCCCAATCGAATTGAGGCTTAGCAACCTTGAGGTAGTACATGCCTAGCAACATGTTGAAAGACAGCTCGTCGCTAACAAGCAACAATATCTTATGTCTTAGTTCTCCTCCTTCATAGGAGAAGGTGTAGACTGCGTCCTTAACATAGTCCTTAACTATCATGGAGTGCTTGTTGGCTAAGGTAGATTCTACAATTCTGCTAAGCCGCTGCACTTGGTACCCTAAGCGTAGCCTATCGACACAAGCACGATTGATGAAATTTCGCGTAGAGCCAATGTCTACAAAGGCGCCAACCTTTCAGCCACCTACAACGACTTCTACCACGAAATGTTCACCCTTTGGACCTTTGTTTAACATCGCCCAAGAGTCTCTTGTGTCTTTTTCTAGCCATTCAGTCTCGAACTCCATTAAGGACTCAAACGCACCCATCGAACAGAGCATCGATTGGTACAGATCTGTCTGCGGGGCGATCATGGGGTCAATAGCCTTGGCCATCGTCCGAAATGGAGAAGGTAAAGTTACCACCTCAGCACGAGTAAGAGCGACTAACACTCCTACTGGGCGGAGGTGTTTCCCTGGGAATTGCTCACAGAAGCACCACCAGAGCCATCACTATTGAGGACGAGACCTTCGTAGCGAATTGCTTACTCTTGCACTTAGCCATCGTGTGCCCATATTGGTCACAGTTCAAGCAAGCGCCTCACACAACACGGTGTCGCCACACCTCGTACTCTAGACCGAGCTTCACCCATATGGGTGGTCCTTGGGAACTTTGACCTTTGGGCCGGCCTACCTTTTGTTTCCCGACCTCCTTAGCCTTTTCCCTGATAGGAGCGACGACTCCACCATCTGAAGTCTCTACACTCCCATCTATCTTTGTTTCTTCCCCAAGGTCAGCGAAGTCGTCAATCTCAGTGACTTGACCATCATGGTCAACGAACATGAGATTGCCTTTCTTCCTCTAGTCTTTAGGGAGCTTCTTCTTTCTCCCATCTACCGGTCCCTGTTGGGCACTCCCAAGCCTAGCCTCAATGTTTAAGGTCTTCTTGCTGAAAGAAGCAAAGTCATGTATATCGATGGAGGCCTCATCGACCAGCTTATTTTTGACATCTGTAGGCAGACATCGCAAATAAGTTGTCAAGAGGACCTGCGGTTCGACCGGTTTGGTGACCGGGTGACAGGCCGAGCATGACCCTCGGGTATGGGCCCGGGCAACCCCAACGCAAAAAAAAAAAAAAAAAAAAAAAAGAATCCAAAAAAATATGGAAAAGAAAAATATTGTGTAGAATTGCAATACAAACAACTTTTGGCTGAGGGTCGTATGAGAATTCCTCACGGAACTGAAGATAAAAATGAAAATAACCAAATCACACTATGGCACCCCCTTTTTTATCATTTATACTCCCCTTCCCCCCCCTGACAGCCAACACTCCAAAACAGAAAAGAGCCCGGATTTGGGCTCCTCTCGGAGAGCGCGGAAACCCCCCACCGCCAATTTTTATTTTTTTATTATTTTATTCTAGGCTACCAGCCGAGCCGCCTGGGTGCCGGGTGGCCAGCCCATGCAAGGGAGGGTCCCAGCAAAAAAAAAAAAAAAAAATCCAAAAAATCTGAAAAAAAAAACTATGTTATGCAGAAAAATAAACTAAACAACTTTTGCCTCAGGGTCACATCGAAATTCTTCACCAAATGTTGAATACAAAATCAAATTTTATTTATGTTTCTTATTTTTTTTGGCCCGACCGAGCAAGTGACCTCGGGCCACTCTGGTAGCCTAGATTTTTTTTTTTTTTTTTTTTTTTTCCATGCCTGGGTATCCCGGGCGTTAGACCCCCCCTGGGCGTCACGCCCGGGTGACCGGCCAGTCATGAAAATCTTCCTATGATAAAACTTCAAAAAAGTGGAGGCATCCCCTTGCCTAATGTTTACATTAGCCAGGTGGACATAACCGAGACTTGAATGCATGCTTTGTATGAGCAGTTACAGGTGTGTACCATTTGCTTAGCAGGAGGCAAGTGCGTAACAGTTCAAAAGTTGCACAGTGGAATTGAGAACTTTTAGCATGACAGATGAAGACTTGGGCTTGAATTTCTTTTTGAATTTACATATTTATTTGTACTTGCAATTGCACCTTGTTTCTATTCATGGATATAGGCTTTGGGAACCTGGGAAAGCAATGTTATGAATGCAAAAAAACATCACTACATAGTTAATGTGAGGGCGTTATTGTTACCCCAACAAATGCCAAAAAGATAGTTTGAGTTTGTTGTTGTAATGTCACCAAACTTTTTTCCTGTTTTTCTTGCATGTGCCTTTTGCCACAATGACATTCTCAATCGAGCCAGGTCGTAAGGCGAGGGAAGAGAACGAAGGTCATCATATTTGATCTTCTAGTTGGGGACATAGTCTACCTTGACATTGGTGATCAGGTGATGATCAATTGATTTCTCTCCGACATTCATCTTTTCATATTGTATTGTCACATATGTATCAACTAAACAAATGCGCTTCGTGAAACAAATGAAGAAAAAATCAGACAGCATGAGGCACACTGAATCCATTGTGTTTGCCTTTTTTCGTGCAGTTTTTTCTTTGTTACTTTCTTTTGGCCATTTTTCACAATTTTCGTTTTATGTATGTAGTATTACTAGTATACGTTATGTATGCATAAGGGATAACTTGCAAAAGTGAATGTGAGCTACGTTCCGATGATGATTAAGAGAATTGAGTGATTTATGAACCTATTGAAGTGACTCAAGAATTTTGTTATTTTGATTTGTCATCATAAATGAAATATAGATTTTGAGAAGAGCCATATCAGTTGAAAGTCTTACATGTGGGTCGAAAGCTAAGCCACGTCAGTAATTAGATGGTTTAGGTTCCTTATGGGGTTTGAACCTTTGATCTTCGTCGTGCTTCCATTGTAGAATTCGTTTGTCAAGACATCATAGAATCCTGCTAAAATTATGGAGATCAAGGTCAGCGACCTTTCAAATCAATTTGTGGATTCTCTTGCCCAAGTTCATGGTACTGAACATTAGCGAGCGCGAGTTACCACCAACCACGTTCATAAAGTTTTATGCAAACATTGGCGATCTTTACAATGGTCGACTGCACTAATAATAATTAACCACCAAGTTAACCTTGGGATACCTAGTTTATCTCGAGCAATATTCGATTAACCTTTCATTTCTCTTTGCAGTAAAGTGACATAAGTTCTAATTAAGTTAAAGTTTTTTGTGTTTTCATGTTTTGAATGAAGCTTATGGTGACAATTTACACGTTCTCTAATATCCAATCTCGAAGAACTTTGGAGTCTTGAATGCTTTATGATCTTCCATCTTTTCTACATGGGTCTTTTGTAGACAACCTATTTGGTCTTGTCAGATAATGAAGCAAAGAATGAGACTTACGTTATAAAATATCAATTGGGTTTGTATGTGAGAGATCTAGATCATACGATAATTGACAGATCCCGAAGTACCATTAGTGAGATGTAGGTTAGCTGGAATCTAGATACCCGAGCTTCCTAGAGGACTCCCAAAATGCATAGGCAATGCATTGACTCGAAGAATGCTAAAGGCAATAGATGCCTTAGCATTTTCGAGGTTTTTCTCACCTCGTCTCTAGACAATCTTCCGATGTCATTGAGTGTTGTTTCATAGTTTTGACTTCTCTAAATCCTTTGTCTATTTCGGGAAGATTAGGTCCTTAGAATGTAACAGTTCATTGCCATTCTCAAAGCCACTTTGTCAGTTTCCTCTGCATAACGTTGTCTTGTTTTCCTTCTATAATTTTAAGCCTCAGGGTGACTGTCGTTCTTGGGTGTCCTGGTTTGCTCATGTCTCCTATATAAATCGGGAGACAGACAATAACAAGTCAATAAAGTGAAAACATAAGAAATAAAAATCCGCAAAAAACTAATTTGAGGTTCCTCGATAATCATTTTCAATATTGAATTCATTATCCATAAATTATACATGAACGGATGGAGAGGGATTCAAACCCTCAATATTTTGTAATATGTCAGTTTTCAGGACTGATACCTTCAACCACTCAGACATCCATCCAAAGCGAAGACGCCCCTTGTACCTTTCTTTCCACTCCATCAAACACATCACCGGTGAAGATAAGATCCAGGCCGCCTAATCCGCGTTTGCTCGCCACTGCTAATGGAGTCTCGATTGATGTGCTTTCCTTTAGCTACTTAGATGTTTCAGTTCACTAAGTCAGCTTCGTTGTGGTTTCCCGATAGGAAATCCATGGATCTAAGAGAGCTTCTCCCCATGGCGTTTCGCCTTTCATTGCGTCCTTTCTTTAAGTAATGGCCTCTATGCAGCGTAGAAAAGGTCCAAATGTGGTAGGATTGTTTGGGTTATTACAACCTTTAGTAAATGGTTACTGATAATGTAAAACAAAGACCCTTAATACAGGCAATCCTAAGTGCAACAAAGTTGCCTCTACCAAGAAAATTCGGGAATGCCTTCATGCTTTGAAGGAATTGTTNAGGCAATCCTAAGTGCAACAAAGTTGCCTCTACCAAGAAAATTCGGGAATGCCTTCATGCTTTGAAGGAATTGTTACAAACGATATTCCAGACTGCTTGGTGATAATAAATGCAAATCAGAATTCCATGGGCATACTTGAAGCTAGTCAATTGCATATACCAATTGTGTGTTTCCTTTATTGTGATGTGCGTTCTTTATGCCTCCTAAGCCCTAAACCCTGGACTCCGATTTAGCAGTTGTTTTTGAGAGTCATGTCTGCGGCAGTTTCAGCAAGCCATTTCATGGACTTTTTTTTTTTTTAAATTGTGCGTAATCGAATATGATTTTTATGTGAGGGTTTCCCCCCATGATAGTGGGAACTGGCAGTTCCTGACTTCCACCTTCTTACCTTCCTGCCAATTGCAAAGCGTTGACCAATACCATCGCCTTTCTGTGAAGCACCCACGAGAGTCAAGAAGCTATCATCTTGATATCGATGGTATAAAATCCATAGATATTTTAAAATTTGTGAATGCCTTCAAGATTCGCTTTTTTCGTGTGCAACAACCACCAGGAAGAAAATTGCTTTCTCAATCAGTCAGTCAATCAGTCTCTCTCTCTCTCTCTCTCTCTCTCTCTCTCTCTCTCTCTCTCTCTCTCTCTCTCTCTCTCTCTAGCCCTCGGGCCTCAATTTCTCCCAGATACCTTCTCACTCGCTCTCTACCCAAGTTCGCTATGGCGCCCAATGCTACCTGACTACAGCTGCCTGCCCTGTCACTCCACCTCAGTCGATGTTTGGTCGCACAAGATCGCAGCAGTGCTTCTGCAACACATTTTGTGAAACTGCCATTTCGTTAAAATTAACAAATATTTTAATTACAAATTGACAGTTATTTTTTGTGTGGTTTTTGGCGTTTTTGCAGTTTTGTACTACACATTAGCAATGTCAATGTTATATTAGGTCTAGTTGTCCCAGACCTTTGCACATCTCTCTCTCTCTCTCTCTCTCTCTCTCTCTCTCTCTCTCTCTCTCTCTCTCTCTCTCTCTCTCTCTCTCTCTCTCTCTCTCTNCTCTCTCTCTCTCTCTCTCTCTCTCTCTCTCTCTCTCTCTCTCTCTCTCTCTCTCTCTCTCTCTCTCTCTCTCTCTCTCTCACTCACTCACTCTCACTCTCTCTCTCTCTCTGTCTCCCAAATACCTTTTCTCTCTCTCTACCTAAGTTAGCTATGGCGCCCAGAACCAGTTGATTACGGGTACCTGCCTCTTCATCTCGGAGAATAGCCACCTGCGCGACCAAGTAGGAAGAAGGTGTATGAAATGGCTATGGTGGATCCGTTGAGTGGCTGGCAGTGAGGGGAGGATTCGAAGATTGGTTTTGGTTCACTCTTTCACTGTTATTATTCATATAACTATAATGAAGAGGGGGAGTAATTGGAGGTTGGAGATGGTAGTGAGGTAAAGGGGAATTCACATTGGTCTTTGCTTGTGTTCTTCTTCTTCTTCCAATCGTTTTCTTCTTCCTCTGTCTATTTCTCTTTCCAAGTTCTTTCATTTTAGTTGTCACTGAGCGACATTGTCTGTCTTTGAGTTGTTGCACAGCAAGATAGCCAACATCATAACAAAAAGGAAGAAATGGGACCAAAAGGGTAGGCTTGTACGACGTAAACCCTAATATGACACTGCTAATGTTCAAATGACCAAGCAAAAACCCCTAAAAGAGAACCCTCAGAATTTAACGGTCAATTTCATGCAATAAAAATATTTCATTAATTTTAAGGAAATGGCAATCAAGAGGTATTGACGTCTACTGCTGCTTGGAATTTTCATTCGTGACAGTTCAGTTTCCCTGGCTCGAACTATCCTGAACAATACCCTCACTTCTCGGTTGGGGTTCAACCTTTTGCGCATCCAGAATGTGCAGACTTTCTTGGCCGGGCTGCTCCCTGAACTGGATCGCAGTTGGCTCCCTAAGTTATCTGCCGTACAAGACTAAGCTTGGCCTATCTAACTACCAGACTGGGACTTACGGTACATTGCAGTCTGGTATCATAGGACCAGGGTTGGGACACGATTCTAATACTCATGAAATTCTTTCACTTCCGCTGGCCTACATTCGATGTCCTCCAAGAAAACTAGGATCTTTCTCCCATGCCAGTCACTCTAGCACCCCTGTGAAAGTTTTCGTAATGTGAAACTATTCTAGGGGTAGTTCTGTTAGTCATCTTCAAGCGCTGGTATTGAAAATGAACTTTGTATTGCCTCGTGGTTGTTCCCTTCCTCATGATTTGCAAGTGTCCTGCTCAACGTCATACTTGCCACCCACATCCGGTGGAACCATCTATGCACGCAAAGGAAAGGTGGTGTCTGTTTAACATGGTAGCAAGCAACTTAGAGGCATGGAAGATAGGATAGGGTGTATCTGTATGACATAGGATGGGTCGTCTCTCGCACCCACTACGTCTAAGACTTCTCGTGGGCCTCCTAGAAATCCAAGGTCGCATATAGTGAGAGACGGCTACATCTGCTATAATTAGCTGCCGTTTCTTCTTCTTCATTGCTGCTCAAGGCTTGGGAAGAGTTTCGGTCGACTACTAGGATGGGTGACTGTGTCTGCTTCCACCTTGGTGGCTTGCAAGTTGGAAGGGGAACTACTTGTGCGTGCTACTTGCTGTCCATCTATGCTCGCCACCAGCTGCAACTCCTACTGGTCATTCGGTTTTGGAGTCTGTGACTTCGAGCAGCAGGGAATAATGTGACCCTCTTTCCCACACTTAAAGCACTGCCTGGAATCTCTCATTTCCATCCATTGGCATACTGACAAACTCTGCTTCCAAGGCTCACCATCTTCAAGTCCTGGATGTGGGGGATACCTACAAGGGCTTCTACGTGGAGAACTGCTTCCTTCCCTAGCCTATGGCAGGAACTGTCCTCTACCGCCTCTCTTCTGTGGTGGGAAGCATTGTCAACCACTTCTCCTTGGCGGCCCTCCATTCCTGGTAGTGACAACAGCATATTCCCCTTCCCAATTGTCTTCACTGCTGCCGCTCTTGGAATCAATCTCACCATATGACAGTTGCTCGGCTCAACCTTCCTTGAATGCTATGATGAAATGGTCTTTTCCATAGATCTATTGCCGTGAACGGTGTGAAGGCATGATAAGTCTGTCCTGGGGTATGAAAAATTGGCTAACAATGCCAACTCAGCACAACCAAAGTCCAAGCACCATCCACAGAGCATCAGGCCAGAAGCAGACTCTAGCGGTCTACAGGATGTAACAGATGGCAACATCTGAACCAAAATGAACCCTAAATAGTGAAAGGTCCAAAGAGAAAAGGCTCAGGACCCCTTAAACCAAAAAGAACCCTAAATAGTGAAAGGTCCAAAGGGAAAAGGCTCATGACCCCTTAGAACATTGAAAGTGGACAGACTAAGTCCCAAAATTTAACTAATCCTCCCTCCTTCAACCATTAACAATTCTTCTAATCACTCACTAACGTCACAGTCACCAACGCAAGTACAACTGAACCAGCCACCATCCCACATCTACATGCCACCATCCCAAATCTACTATCATCCCCCTTACACCGAAGAATCTTCCCCCGGGTTTATACCACCACCTTCCCACCTTCCCACAGCCCCTAGCCCCCTCCTGTCGACACGCCAAGCCTCACCTCAGAAACACCAGGCAACAGGAAACCTCCATGGAGCGACCTAGGGTTTAGGGTCCTGGACATCCAGAACATCCCAATAGGTACAACATCCTGGCTTTCCTAGTTCCAACTTCAACAGCAAAACTACCCAGGCCAAAAAAGGAAAAAGGAAGAGGTAGAAGGGGCTTCAGTGGAACCATTGATCCTAAATTCAGAGAAATTTCAATCCTAGAACCCATATGTTTTAGGTTTTTAGCAAGATAGAAGTTAATGGGCCAAGCTAGCAACTCCAGTACCTAATGCAGATCTGACAGCCAAATATCTGAGAGGAGCAAGCTAGACAAGGCCTCCACTGGGTGGCTCCAAACCGTAAACAGAGGTAGCAGAAGGCAGTCTAGTAACCGGGTTCAGAAGTAAAGTCTTGCAGGCTAACTTAGGCAGGGGTGAGGGGTGGTATATCCTTCTGTTGGGAAGTAATCAATGCCGTCCACTCAGGCCTCTCGACCATAATGGGGTGGAGCGTGTGTAACTATTGTAATCTCTTCTGACTTGCCAGTGGAATAGGACCTGAACTGATGCTCCCCAGAACGGAAAGGAGCCAGAACCGTAAGTTTCTGTTTGTTTTTTTTTTCTGTCCTGGGGTACAGGAATCTGCAGCTAAAATTCTTCTGATTGGCTTTGGCAGGGCCATCGCAAACTGTGACAATGCTTGCGAGTCAGACAAACCGTGCTCCGACACTTGCAGCTTTCCATCCATCTTCTGCACACAGCGAAAACCAGAACTTCTGCTATCCATGTCATCAGGTCTTCATCTTTCTTTCCATGGTACTGGGCACGCGGCCTCATTTTTACCTTGTCTCTAGTACTAGGCCTCCCTTCATCTGATCGACTTCTACAATGGGAGTTCGGCCACTGTGAGCTCCTTCATCCCCACTATCATCACCATCTCCGTCTCCTTCATCTCTTGACTTCACTTCTTGTCCTTATTGGCGTTGTATATCCTCCCAATGGCTTCAGCAAGAATCTTCCCAAATGACTAGTGGAGTTCACTGTCTAAAGACCACTGGAAGTCTTGCTGGGATTTCCAGATCTCGTCTAGCTCGTACTGCATCAAGTCTATAATGTTTGTCACATTCAGTGCCAGTGGTGCCACCATTTCAAGATGTGAGTCTACTTTCTTCCCCTCTGCCTGTTGCAACTTCTCCCCTGAGCTACACTGCCTTCCAGCTATGGCAGCCACTGCTATGCTACCTTCCATCTCTCAATGCTCACACTCCTTTAGGGATGCCACCTGATGCCACCCAACCCCCAATGTGTGGAATTGCCGCCCAACCTCTTTGTTTTTTGTTTCTCGGCTGGAGTCTGGGCCTATCTTTAATCATTGCCTGGCCTGGGCTGCAGCCAGGTACCTGCCCGCTCTGGGTCCCAACACAGAACCTGGGTGCCTGACAGTTGGGGCGCCGACTTGTCACAGGCCAGGACCTTCACTTAGGGCTGGCCTGTATTTTCCGGGCAGCCTCCTCTTAGGGCTGTTGAGACTTGGAAGCCTAGCATTTTTTAATAGCTGCTCGTCTTTCCTGCAATGGGCTATGTAGCTATGTGGCTGAACAAATCTTGCTTAGCCTTTTTGTAAATGGGGTTTTGCCCCTAACATTTTGTATCCATCTGGAGTTTAGTCCATGATCTGTTATTATCAGTTAGATATAGTACCATTCAGCCATTGGTGCTGCAGATTTACCCTTCTTGTCACATCTATGAGCATATTACTTTATGTTTTTGGACATTGGAGCAGCGGTCTCTTGGGTTAGATAGGATTCTCTTTGGGCTAGGGATGCTTTTATTCAGTAAGTGTTTTATGTGAGATGTATGGTGTTTTGTTTTTTTTTATACCAGTTTTATGGGTCAGATAGGTTTTGGCGGCCGACTGGTTGTAACAAGTCTGGGGGAGGCCTCCCTTTGACGCACGGAAGGGATGTGAGACACCACTCATCATGTCATAAAACCAAGAGGGATTTTCATTTCTGACCTTACACAAATTTTTGCAATTGTGAATCAGGTTCCTGCAGATGGACTTCTGATCAGTGGCCATTCATTGCTTATTGATGAGTCCAGCATGACTGGAGAGAGTGAGCCTGTAAGTTGCCTCCCTTTCGTCTCCTGCCTTTTTCCCCAATTTTCTTCCCTGTTCTTTTTCCCTTCCCCTTCTCCCCCAACTTCCCCCGGCTCCTTCACATGCTTTGGTAAGGGTAGATTCACTGCTCGTTTCCCTGTAAAGCGTTCTCTCAGGCAACCCAGCCCATTCAGCTGCATGATACATACATATAGCTCTTAGTAAACAGATTAGATGCATACAATAATGGCAGGGGATGCCCCCTTTTGGGGGGGGCTGGGAGGGGGGCTGGGGGGGGGACAGAGATTGTTATCCCTAATCCACTTCACCAGTATGTTTTCCAGCCCATTTTCTCCCACGCGGCCGTGCTTGTGCTGCAAGTTTCGGGGGTCGGCATATCGAAGCAAAATGGTTGGCGGCACGAGCCAAAAGAAGGCCCATGCCAAAGAGTTTTTTTGTTTTTTTTTTTTGCGTGCAGGGCGTTTTCCAGGACGGTTTTTTTTTTTTTTTTTAATTAAAGGTGAATAGCATGCTTTCCGCATTGTTCATATCTTGTGGACGGTCATGTTGTCTCTGTTGATTACAATATCATCTCAGACGATAACCTTCGCAAGCTTTTTCAAGAAGGTTCTAAATATCGTTTGAACGGGGAGACTGCTGATGTGCTCCAAGCACTGGCGATCGGACTCGATGAGTACATTGYCAGTTACAAGAATACATTTGCTAGACACTCTCGATCTGCTTCTTTMTCGTCCCTTTCTCAGAAATTGCACAGCTGGCGTTCTGCAATCCTTGGGCATTGYCAATCCAATGCGACTTCGTCTYCCRATCATGTGAGCCAACAACATTCACTTCGTTGTGCACATGCCTCCTTACGCCATCTGCAGCAACACTTTGCCATTGTTCCTATGGACAAATCATCCCACAATTTGGCAATTTGTTGCAAGAATTGGTATTTGTTTCACCTGTCTACCCATTTGGACAGTCCCACTTATACTCGTCCTCATGAATCTGTCGCTGATGTGCTCAACCACCATGCACTATGGAATCACCATTGGGGTTATACCCACACTGATACCCTGCCTTACCTATACTATGTGTTGAAAGCCCACAAGTCTCCTCCAGCTCTTCGCAGCATTCTTGGAGTCACAGCACAAAATACTTGTCCTGTCCCCCCACGCACTCGCTCTCGTCCTTCTATTCGCACCATTTATGAACGGCCTCCTCACAAACCCTTGGCTAGCACAACGGCTACTTCGTCCTGTCTCAGCACTGCTTTGCAAGGCGTGATTTCTACTCTTCGTGAGAAAGACACTGAGCTCTATCAACAGGAAGGTGTTCGACGGTGCTGGATCGTCCCGAATGCCGATGAGGTGGCGATTGACCTGAAAAACAATGTGTCCTCTCTACGTGGCCTCTCTCCTCGCACGGTTGATTTCACCACAATGTACACCAACCTCTACGTGGCCTCTCTCCTCGCACGGTTGATTTCACCACAATGTACACCAACCTTCCTCATGACCGCATTTTGAATAATGTGGCAAAGGTTGTTGATGAAGCTCATGCTTATGCTCTTCAGCATACCCGCATGCATTCGCGCTGCAGAGCCTTGAACATGTTCATTCGCGGGCCTTGCTCTGGCCAATGGACAACCGATTCAGGACCAGACAGCCTTTCCGTTTCTCAGATTCTCCAACATCTTCGCTTTGTTGTAGAAAACACTTTTCTGTACACTAGAGATGGCACTCTTCGAAAGCAAATCATTGGTATTCCAATGGGAACAAATGCTGGCCCAGAAATTTCCAATCTAACGCTCTATTGGGATGAAGCACGCTTTATTGATGACATTCGTCAACATGATCCCCAAGCTGCTCAGCGATACGCCTTCACTTACCGCCTCATTGATGATGTTCTTTCATGGGGGMAATTACCTCCTCCTTCAGAGCACTATGGTCTTGAGTGGAAGGAAACTACGGCTACAGATGGCTCGTGTACCTTTTTAGGTATGCATCTACGAGTMCGTTCTGATGGTTCGCTTCGCATGAGCGTGTTTGATAAAGCGGCTGCTTGGGATTTCCCTGTTATTCGCTATCCAAGTGCTACCTCCAACATCCCTTCCCATCAACCRGBRRGWGTGTTCACTGGGCAATTGACCAGATTTGAACGCATCTGCAATAATTGGCAGGACTTCCGAACTGCAGCGACAAACTCACTCGTCGCATGCTTTCTCGTGGTCATTCCCCACCAACCCTCGCTAAAGGATGGACCTGCTACACACGCTCCCGCCAACGTCGCTATCCTACA